TTCAGTTTATTTCTTCTTTGCTTTAGTATTATACAACGTAGGGGATCTATTAAAAATAAAGCAGCAATCCATGGTTATCATTATCCATCTTTTAGCTATTTTTGATGAGTGTCACTTTAGAGTTTTCTAGCTCATTTCGCTTCCGTTCTCATACGGTATCATTTTTTTTAATTTGCACATATACAATATCAACTTTAAAAATACACAGAATTGTGTTGCTTAATTGTACTAATATATATTTTTTTAATTTAATTATATTTTAAATATCTTTTAATAAGAAAAAATTTGAATACGAACAGTTTTAAATAGAATAACTTTTACTAATTAATCTAATTTTGAGTAGACAATGAATAATTTATACAAAGTTAGGGATTACTTGTATGTTGTGATTCCCAAAATAAAGTCACTAATTAAATATGTCCATATCTTTAATTCACAAAATTAATTATAAGTTTTAAAAATAAAATTTTATTTATATTTTGCTCTAATTTTTATTATTTAATTAGCAAGACTTATGCCATAAAATTCTGCAAAATATATTAAAACTTTTTTTACATTTTACATGTACTCAATTTTATAAATAGTTTCGTAATTCATCTGTCCATGAAATGAAGTAACGTATGTACTTATGTGTGTCATATTAAATTGCTTGGAAAATGGAACGATTTCTTACTCATTAATTTAATTAAAATAGCAAAATAATTTGGATGTTACTTCAAATGTGCATCAAAATATAAAATTCAACATATGGAAAACGTTACTTGATAGAAAACTATTTAAAAAAATGCACTCTGCATTTGCTATAAATTTAAAATGTCCACTTGAGATACGAAAATTTAAGAAAATGTAAGTTAAATGCAATTTTTGGCATTTTTGCAGTATTATAACATAAATGTCAGGGTTTATGTTCGAAAATTGAATGTTTTTTTACGAATTTATTGTCGTGTTCAATATGTCAAAAACAGAGACCGCAGTTATCACTTTAGACCACTTTAGACAACTTTGGTATGTAGTATACCAGAGCTTTAGTCTGGATTTTGTGACAAGGGATGACGTTATAGGAAATTATAAAATATATTATAATATATATATATATATATACATATATATATATATATATATATATATATTAGTTTTTTAATTATTCGAACTATTCACCTATAATGCAGGCGAATCCGAAGTGATTGGATCAAACGTTGCGACTTAGATCCTAAACAAATAAATGTGCTTATTACTTAAGTTAACTCAGTCTTTAGTAGCGGGGATACTACTTTTGGGAACTTTGATGTAATATTTGAATGTAAGTGGTTTTGGTTTCATCATAGTTGTTAATAATATATAAATGTATCGTCATAATTTAAGTTTGTCAAGAGGTTTTTTGAAAAGTAACAACAACAAGGTTTGAAGTAAAGTAACAACAACAAGATTATTTTATATTATTTTAATTAATTGATTTTTTGACTGATCATACAACTGTTTCGGGTATTGCCATCATCAGTGGTCTTGGAAATAGTTCTTGTATTTAATTATTCGTAATTAATTTTTTGAGACTGCAAGTACCAGATATTGAACTCGTGCCCTGTCAAATTTGAGTTTGTTATAAAAAATTCAATAAATCACTTAGGTTTTTTCTAACTTATGGGAGTAAGTATATTACTTCGACATTCCTACATGAGTGAATAACACGAATTTAAACGTTTTGGCCTTAAGCTTTCTTTATTATTCCACGCCACTGATATGCACACATGGAATATGTTAAAGGGGCATAGGAAGTCCTTTTTGTGCAGCAATGTCTTTCAATAACAGCAAGACGTGTATAATAGTACATACACAATATTTTTATTTTTTTATTGTGAAGTTTTCTTTGAACAAACCCATCAGCGATTGACACTTTTATTATATGTTCTTGACAATTACTACACTTTTACGAAAATGTTATATTTAGTGTAGTGCTTCTTTGACTGAGTGTATTCGATGACTTTAATCTAATTAACTTCCTCATATTGCTACAAAATTGACACATTGGGTTGCAAAGTTAATATGACAGACATAAAGAGCTTTATTATATGATTAAGTATTTTTTAACTTTGTGTTATTACATATTTTATTTGCGATAGCTTATTGTATTATTGTAGTAAAAATAGAAAAAAGATATCAAGCTTTAACATTTAGATTGAGACATTTTATTATAATTTTCCTAATGCATGTAAAAAGAGAGGACGCAAATAAAAGAACTATAAAATTTTATTTTAAGTACCAAAATTTAAATTCAGTTAAGGAGTGAATTATACTTACATTCTTGCTATAGTGAAATTCAATTTTTGTTTTTCATTCATTTAAAGTTTAGTAGTAATCATAAATAAATTTGTTACTTCTGACATTATCACATTTATTATTTGTCACTCATACGCTATGTTGCACATTCATTTAAAATTAAATTCATTTCGAGGCAATTATTAAATTAAAATTTTATGTAGCATTTTACTTAAATAAACGCAAAGTTAGAATAAATAATAAATAAATAAATGTTGGAAATAATTAAGTCGATTTAATGTTGTTTTAAAGTTTATTTATTGTCTCCTTGGAGCAATTGAATTAAAGAAATAAATTAGAAAACTCAATTGCAAAAACACAACTAAGGTGTACAGGACTTTCAAATACAGAGTACACAAAAATATAATAAGGTTTTATAGAAAAAACAAATAACGAATAGAAGCATTAAAAAATAATAATTTGCTGGATAATAGATAATTAGTTAATTTTTTTTTGCTTTCTTGCAGTGCATTATTCAATGAGAAAGACAAGGGTATATTATTTAAAATATTTACTTCTGAGCCTTGCAAGATGTGATTTAAGATTTTTAACGGATAGAAATTATTGTTTTATTACTCCAAAAATTTCTTTTCAATATTTTTGATGCAAAATTTCAATATATCTCATCAGCACACACTCAACTGTTGGTTTACTGCCACCATTGTTGCAAAACTCGGGTCAAAATAAAAGTTCAGAAATTGCATTGAAGAACCTTTTATATTGCTTATATTGCTATAGATTGTAAGATTTTTATTGTAGGTAAGGTAGCAATTTAAGGATGCTATTACCAAACGTCAGATTGTTTAACTCACTGAAACCATTGTTTACTTACTAACACGGATGTATACTTAACATAACAAGTACGAGATGAGATCTGTTTTTCTTTTTATCTGGATAAGGTTGTTTTGTTTAAGTGGGGACTCAATCCATGATTGCAGTCAGAATTATTAGAAGAGAATTAAATATAATAAAATTATTTATCATTAGTTGAAGTGTGCAGAATAATGAGAATAAATTGTGAGGAAGTGAATGCATTATTATACATTTTTGATATCTAGAAAGTAAATAGACAATAATATTAACAATGATAGGAAAGATGATAATGTTAGTAGAATTTAAATTGAATTTTAGATGGTACAGTAAATTTTATTGGTATTCTGCACAATACTTGCAGAGATGTTCATTATTTCATAAAAAGTTGCTGCTTTTTAACATTATTTTGTTTCTTCCATTTGCTTGAATCAGTAAGACTGATGATTCGGTACTACCTTTTTTTTGTCAAGATAGTTTTCAAGATCACTATTGTGAACGTACACAAGCGTATTTATAGCAATCTCAGAATTTTGTTTTGGAATTTTGAATTCTCATAATATTTTTAGAAGTTGAACAACTTTGTTGGATTCAAAAAGTCTATATTGGTTCAAGCAATTGGTTGGAAGAAGAGCAAGTACCTATTTCTTAATTTCAATATTTTAAACGTTTAGATTCAATTAGATACCAGTCTGTAGTTTTGTGATTTTTTCATTAGTCTCAAATATATAATTTTTGATTTTCATTTTGAAAGATATGTGACAATTAATAAATGACTTTGTATTTTAAGTCATTAGCTCTAAAGATTCGACAATTAGCTGTTTTTGGTTAAAATATACGTAGTCGTTAGAGAAACTAACACTTTTTTAAGAGGTTGAATAATATCATGTGAAAAGTATAAATCAACTTAAAGCTGCAATGTAAGATAGATTTATAAACATATGTATATATTTCTTTATATTTATTCTTTGTATTTATTTATTTTTCAAATAATAATATATTCAAATATACACTCAGAAAAATAGTTTAATTGATTTCATCAGACTTTAACTAAGTCTAAGGTCAAAATATTTTCACTCTACGCATCATGTTGGTTCAACCATACCATATGTTGGTTCTCATATCGTCTTTACCACATGAGTTAAGATTTCTCTAACAAAATAATTAGGTCAATTTAACTTGAATGTGGCTAGAGCATATTTTTCTGAGTGTAGTTATATTTCTTTTCAAATTCATCTAAATTAATGTAGAAAGTGTGTAGAATTTTCAGTATATTTAATTAACTTTCTTTACTTTCGACTTTTTCTATATTTTCAAATTCTAAACTTAATAAAGAAATGTTCACATACAAAATAGATTTAACTTCAACACCTAATAAAGTATCTCGAAAGTCAATTGATATCAACACATACTTAACCAAGTAATTTGCATGAGATTGTTACTGCTGATATACAAGTGGCAATTTCGTTGGCACTAGACAGCAAAGTACTTCGCCCTTTAATTAAGTACACTTACCACCAAGTGAGAAAGGAGCTTGATTATATGCTCTTTATAAAAATATGGTATGTTGTTATTGTATTCGTATCCATGATTACAGTCTTGAGTTTTATTAATGAAAGGGGAGGAAATTATGCATACTGTTACTAGGATTCTTGAAGATAAAAGTAAAAAGTAACATTTTTACCGTGAGTTTAATACACTCGTAAGAGTATTTATTTTATTTCGCATATTTGCACGTTTCGTAGCTCATCAAAGATTATAATAATCTATAGTGTGAAAATGTTTAAAAACCATAAAACTACATAAAGTATTCTATAGGCAGATGTGCATCGTATGATTAAAATGCAAAATCACATTTTCTCTTCTGTTTTCTGTAGGATGAAGTTGAATGCAGATGCGAAGGCGAAGCACTCACGCGTGTACCACAAACGCTTACAGTATCAATGCAAAGGTTGACAATTGCCTCGGCGGGATTACCTAGACTACGAAATACAGGACTAAAAGTTTACGCAGAAAGTCTGTTGGATGTGTAAGTACAGAAAATATGTTAAGCGTGTGAATTGTTCAGTTTAACAAAAGTTTTACGTTTGCAGTGTCCTGATTGATTTACAACAGTTGGAAACAATCCAGGATGGCGCATTCGCCACCTTAAAATTACTGCGTACCATGTAAGTGGAACTATTTGTATATCGTATTTCAGCTTGTAATGTTTTATACTCGTATATGCCAAAGTGCACAACGCTAATGATACTATTAATTACTTCAGCGCGGAATACGACGAAGTTGAAATATTTATTGCTGCAATCTTTCATTAAATCAAAAAGCTTTAATTACTTTTCCTAGTAGAATTTTATTTGCACTACAAGTTATTTATAGTTTTTAACATTTACTCTTTTTTGAAACGCAGCTATATTTCCCATGCACCAATGTTAACGTATCTGTCAAAGGATGTTTTCCAAGGCATTTCAGACACCATAAAAATAATGTGAGTATGTTTAAATACTAAAATTGATTTTTTTGCAACGAGAAAAATATATTTCATAAATGTCATAGTGAAGTTGTGTTACTAATATTGAGGACATATACGAGAATATTCTTATTAAAAAAAAGTACACAAAAAAATGAATAACAAACGTTATTAACACTTTATTAAGTAAGGTTTTAATATACAACATCATAAAAGAGTATTGTACTATATGAGACATTGAAAGTGCCGGTATGGCACTTTCATTTAATAAATTTTAAACTGTTGAAAATTATCAATGAAAAAATAATATAAAAAATCTATTTAAATTTTTTTAACTAGTGCATTACTTTTAAAGTTTATTGATTAACTTAAAAATATATTTAATATTAAAATGCATAGATATATATATAATTCTGTGAAATATATGAGAGTGCAGAGCGATGTATATTATATTTAAAATATTTTTTGGTTTTTATATTATAAATACTATGTTTGTTGTGTAATACTAATAATATTTACTGCAAAAGTGATTTTAATTAATGTTTTTTTTATAGCCGAATAATAAATAGCGGCTTAATGACTGTGCCGGATTTAATACATTTACCACCTCAAAATATTTTACAAATGATGTGAGTATTAGTGCAGTAATTTAAATTAATAAAGTCAAAACAAGCCACATGTCATCCATTGATAAAAAAAGAGGATTATTGCGCTGGCAATTTCATTGTTTTTTGTATTGAAAATACTATCTACATCATATTCCAATTAAGTCTTCTACTAAACTATCGGTGAACTTTATTATCTAGATAGGCTTCTGCTTACGCTTAATCCTTATAGGTAACTAATACCATTTAAAATTATGTATATCTTTAGTTCTATTTATACTAGTTTATATTTATACTAGCTCAAGTTATCTTAATTATAATTGCAAACAATATAGGGTTGTTTTCGTTTATTTCGCTTGTCTTCGAGTTTAAGATGGTCTTAAGTGTAAACCACCAAGTACTGCATTTTTATGTGCATTGTGAATGTAGAATGAATTTTTAAAAATGGTGGTGGATTTTTTTTTAAATAGGTGAATCCTTAACAATTATTGTTTTGATTGAGTATAGGAGTTGATTATAAATGCATCAGTATTTTATAAGCATTTGCTTATTGCCCTTATTGACTAATTAAGCACATTTATAAAGCAATTAGGAAATAGTTTTTAATTTATTTTACTTATTTACTTTTGTATAAGAGCATCATAAAAATCATATAGATTTATGATATCCAGCTATTTGGTAAACTTGTGCTTCAAATATTGAAATTATTGAATGAGCTCATTCAAAAATATTGAGAATAATCACTGGTGTCTGATGGTATATTAAAACGAAAGCATCCGTTGAGATCTACAAGTTCCCTTAGTTAAAACTGAATTTGGGAATATAAGAAAAGAATACAATAAAAGGCTGACAGAACATGTTAGCTTATTTTGTTTCCTTAGCTAGGAAACTCGCACTTTTATTCACTACTTCCCGTCTAAAAAGAGCTAACCGTGTAATTGTCATTTCTTGGTGATTTGATAAAGTTCAATTATTTTCTTAATAAGCTATCTAACATTCAGTCCAATGTAATTTCATCCATTGTTCTAAGTGAGATCCGCAATGTAAGCATTTCTTATTTTATTTCATATTGTACTAGTGTGTAGTTGAAATTAAAATGGAAATATTATCATATTATATTAGTGGAAAGATTTAAAATCTTGTTAAATTAAATCTTACTCAGATTTAATTTATATTTTGCAATAAATTCTTTTAAGTCAATATCAGCTCTATAGCCATATCACACTAATATTATATAGTTCACATTGTGCTATTTACTATAGTAAATCTTATTATAGAAAGTATATAGATAGACAGATATAGATAGATAGTTATAGCTAGTAAAATGAAAGATATAATTTCATGGAATATGCCACTCTTTTGCCTATACAGAAGATGTGATATGCTTATAGTTGTAGTTATGAAATATTAATTTTATCAACATAAAATTTTAGTTCTTACTATTATTATATAAGAAAAAGTTTTTATTGACACCTAAACTTATCAAAGGTGCCTGACATTATATTGAAAACTCCATATAATTTAATTAATTATAATTAAATTACTGTCATACAGTTGCTACAATAAATTTCAGGCTTCTTAAATTCAGTATTTAAAGTAATTACTTTTCCTACTTCTTATTACTTAAGATCATTAACTATCTTCATTAAATATTTATCATTTTTTCATTTGAATTAATTTCATTAAAATTATTAAATAAATACTATTTTAAATGTTTTCTAGAGATCTCGATAACAATCACATTACTCGAATTGGTATAAAATCTATTAATATAAAGACTGAACAATTGTAAGTATAGATGCATACCTAATTAGAGAATATCTATATACACTACTATAGTGTAATATAGTGAAAATAGTCTATTATTTATTACAAAAGCATATAGAGTATTTTCTAACTAAATATCTCATTCATTATATCTCATATCTCATTGAGGCAATAATACAACCTATAGACAATTTATTTTATAGGCCAAAACAATTGCTTGGCATAAGTCTAAGATAATGGATAATGGAAAATAGAGAAAAATATAAGAAAATATTTTTATATATGATCTTATCAAAAAAAAAAAAATTAATGAAAATCTATTAAAATAACTAATTAAATAATTTCAAAATCTATTAAACAAAATTTAATAAATTTCACAAAAACTGTAAGTTCATTATCTTAAAAGTGGATTTGACTTAAGCACCGTTTCAGAGAGACTTTTTTTGACAGTTTACGTATCAAGACATAAGACTTTTCAAACAATGATTTTACGAACATTTCGTGATATAAAAAATTAAAACTACATCTTTTGAATTTATACAATTCAGTTGTGAAATATCTTAAATTTAAGTTAGAAAGGGTTCGAACAGTAATGAAGCAACAACAACAAAAATTTGGCTGACGATACAACGCTGCTGTATTACTGTTCGAACCTTTCCTAACTTTAAATAGTTCTAAAATAGTTCCTTTTCATAAAATTAATTTAAAAACTTTTAAATAATTTTATTCTTTTTTATATTCTTAGAATTTTAGCAAATAATGATATAAATTTTGTAGATGATTCTGCATTTTATGGCTCGCAAATAGCAAAACTGTAAGTATATTTCAGATAAATAGTTGAGCTTATGTTCATATATATATAGCAAATATACGTATAAATAAAATTAATAAAACAAAAATATTTCTTTTTAATAATTAATTCCAGAACCCTAAAAGAGAATCTAAAATTGAAAGAAGTCCATCCAAATGCATTTTATGGCATTAGCATGCAAGAGTTGTAAGTATTGTAATTAAATATTTTCATATAAATTGAAATATAGAAATATTGAAGAACTAATTAAGTAGAAATTCAGAATTAAAATGATATTATTTTGACTACAATATGAAACAGGTAGAAAAATGGAAGTGGATTTTGAATGTGTTGCTCTTTTCTATTTGCTTCTCAAATATATTATAATAAACCTACATCAAGTTTGCAGTGATTTTTTTTGTTTTTCTTTTAGAAAAAAGAAAGAAACCGACGGGTGCTCTCTCCAAAGAACACCATATGTTGCTGGACGAATATTTTCGATCTGTTAGAACTTAATGAGGTTGTTCGTCTTTCAGTAGTGTGAACGGGTGCATTATCGTGATGTGAAAGGTGTAGGTGTAATTTTTTTTCCTAGTATTTTGGAAAATTTTCGAAAACTTGTGGTACACTGATTTCAGTATATCATTCGATTTTACTAGGTATTTGTATACTATCCGTTATGCAGATAGTATAGGTGTAGTTTTTTTTCCTAGTATTTTGGAAAATTTTCGAAAACTTGTGATAAGCGGATACGAAGTGTACGAAGTAACAGTGACCACTTGTCCAGTTTTCAATGGAAAAACACCTATAAATTCTATTTAAGAGATGTAAATTGACATCATTGCTTCTTTTGATTTCTTTTACGGATGCTTTCTAATCCCTTTCCTATCATCGATTGTTGCATACTTTCTGGATCGTACTTTTAGGGTCGACCAAGCCTAAACTATAATTATATTTTGCAGAATAGGCAGAACTTTCATTTTATATTTAAATTATAATGTTAGGAACTTATGATGCTGTTATAGTAAATATTTTGTTAAGAACATAACAAAATGAGTATTCATTATTACTAAAAATAAAATTGATATGTTTATATTTGGAAATAATTGTTATGTGCCTTAATGGTTCAATTTTCTTATAAGAAAAATACATAATTTTTAGAATTAATGCGTATAATAAACTTGTTTTTAATAAAACTTATTGTTAACGATTTTCGAATTTCATTGAAGCCAAGGCTAAGCATTTTGCTTTGCCCTGCAATTGCGTATATAAATTGGAAATGAGTCAGATATTTAAAATTATAAGGAAAACTGAAATTGATTTTCAAAAAATTTTTCCATTAACATAAACATATCCTGCTGTTTCACATAAATAGATTGATTGCCACACTTTTCCATATCACAGCATTTTACCTTCAGTTTTGTAAATATTTTGGCTAAAGCAAACTATTGACATTTGGCATATTCTGCATTCAAAATGCTTTTGATTTTATGCTCCTATTATGTGAGTAAAAATTGACGGAAATAACTAAATACTGTTTTTCAAACTTGAAAATTCAAAGCAAAATAAATCACACTTCTGGGAAAATTTTTGAAAAACAAAAATTTAAATTTATGTGAAGTACTATAGCCCAACATTTTAATTAGAATTGTTGTATTGCGTACTTTCTGAAGTTTCTTCATATTCACCAATTGATAGAAAAATTCATCACAAAAAACTTTTTGACAAAAAGTTTTCACAGATTATTACTCCAATTAATTTTAAGCTAATTCTGCATTCTGCCATAACTTGGTACTAATATTATCACAAAATATCCGTAGAATGTGGTATATTGCCACATTTTTTTAGTTAGTTAAGTTGACCAAAGTATTGAGATTGAATTACCTCCACATATCAAAAACAACAACTTTCACAATACTCTCTGTAACATGAGAGGAACAGAAGCTCATATATTATTTTCATATAATTTGTTTAATAAAATACTCAAGTTTTAATAATCACTTAGATATTAGCAGGCTATACCTATATTCCTAACAATAGTTTCAAAATTTTATAGAGATCTCTCCAGTACTTCGCTTGTACGTTTACCGTCCGTTGGCCTGCAGGATATAGAGATACTACGCATTGCAAATACACATACTTTAAAGACGATACCGTCTATTTATAATTTTAAGGTAACTCTATTAAATAAATTCCACAAAATAAAATTTTTTTCTCTTATTTTTATGTACAATAAAAGATTTTATAAAAAGTTACATTTACTTCATTTGTATTTTATTTATAGAATTTACAAAAAGCATATTTGACGCATTCCTTTCATTGCTGTGCATTTAAGTTTCCATCCAGACATGATCCTCGCCGTCACGCTGAGCGTATGGATGAAATTGCAAAGTGGCAAAAACAGTGCATCAAGACAGGAAATGACATGGAAAGTAGTGAAAGTAAGGATAACTTACGTTATACGAGAGCTAAAGAGACTGATATAAGTAGTGAGTATGTTGGAACACAAACATTGCAACCAGATGGAGTGTTTTATAGGTAAAGGATTATATTTAGATTAAATAAAAAAAGCAAGTAAGCAAGTAAGACTTAGAAACAAGAAATAAGTTCTACAATTGCTTTTGATATATATGCAAGTATATGTACTACTTAAGCTATTTTTAATATTCACTTTAAATATATTTACACTATTTCTTTTTTTAAACAGTCGAGTGATGAACTCAGACTTAATCGTGAATAATGAATCAAAATCGACTGATGATGCAGATTATATAGATGGTGGTGATTATATGTCAGAATCAATGATTAAGGAGATTGGCATATTTCATGAAGAGATAACAATTGATCCTGACGAGAGTCAACTTGATGAATATTGCGGAAATTTTACTTTTAGGTAAGCGAAAGCTTAGTTAATATATTGTATATTTTAACTCAGGAGTATACAAATTATAATAATAACATTATTATATCATCGGTTTCGCAAGCATCCTAATTGATTTCTTTTGCTTTTCTTTAAAATGAAGTTTGTTTTAATTTAAGTGCTGAAAGCCAGTAGCATATACAAGTAACATTTTTGAGGTTCAAACCCTTCGTAGGTATTGTGGATTATTTTACAGAAGACATGTTTTTTTTAACAAATATTTTTATTTGAACTTAGATCTCCTTAAATCGGTTTCTGTATACGAAGCAGTTAATATGAATATGAACTTGTACCTCACTATATGATATTTATTATTATGTTTTGCATTTTTGCAGAATTACCTTGAATGTGTCAAACAAACGATAATTTTTCCAAACATAGAAAACAATGAATGCAACAATGATTTGCGATCATTGATTTCCAACCCCACAGTTAAAAATGCCATTATGGCCCTTGTAGAGATATTGCCTGTTTTCATTACAAGTGGATAGACAGTTGATAAGTACCGAAGTCTGAGTGTGGCAAGACTATCACAATGACACAGAATGTGTTCTGCCGTTTCCTATACTTCGTGACAAAATCTGCAGCAATTATCACTTGTAATACCTAGATTCAATAGATGTTTTTTTACTCCGTAATATCCAGTGAGAAATCCTGTGACAAATCGTATGCCTTTTCTGTTCAGCATTAGTAGCTTCCTATAGCTCCCATTAGTTGCTTCTGGCTTTTAATCGATTTGGCATGGAGTTTTTAGTTTGTATACAGACAATTACATTATCCCAATCAGTTTGACCTGTTCTTGGCAGTTATTCGTTAATTTTAAGTTCAATAATGCTTCATGTAGGACCGCAGAATGGTTTTGACGCAATACAATATGAGTTTGTCCCTTTACTGACTAGTTCATCGGCTTTCTTGTTTCCCCTCAAATGCACTGTGTCCTGAGACACACATTGAGCGGACCCTATTCGTTTCAGTAAGCTGTTTGAGAAACTGAAGACAGAACAACTTTAAATCTAATAAAAACGCGAAAATTCGAGATATACTCAATAGTGATAATGTTCATGGAGTTGCTTAGATAAGCCAAGCGCGAACCTAATAATCAATACACAGTGTTTTCTTCATTATGAAAGAATTATATTCAAGCAATACCTTTTATCCAAACTAAAGAAGTATAGTATTAAAATGAGTTAACATCAACTTTATTTATTTAAAGAAGAATAGTATATTTGGAAAAATAATTTGGTTGATTTAAACTCATTTTAGCTAAATCTCAGGTCAAAATATTAATACTCAACGCATCATGTTGGTTCATCCATACCAGTATGTCGTTAGAGCATGTTTTTCTGACTGTATACAGGCTAACTAACAATTGGATATAAAATCAATCATAATGTAGGAATAATAAGATATAGTTCAGATAACTATGGATAAGTTTTTTTTGTATCTGTTGTCTGTTGATATTTTGATTGTGAGAATTCCAAATTGTAAAATCCTTTCAAAATAAAGTTTATGAAAGGAATGCTATACCATATATGGTGCTACATTGCTTCGATTTTACAACAATATGGGAATTTGTACATATGTGCCAAGAGAGGACAAAAATGTTGTGTTGGTGTCTATTGTTCATAACGATAGTGGTTTTGAAAATAATGGTAATTTCAACATTAAACTATTTTAAAATAAGCAGCTGTAGATACTATTCAATATTATTCATTGGAAGCGATATACTCCATACATATACATATGTATGATATACTCAAAAGAAATTATTGTTATTGCAATTGTTTTTACAAAATTTGAGATATAAGTATTCTTACTACATAGACTATTTCCTCAAAAACCCAATGATTTCACATAAATACATTTAACTAGAATTTTATCTATGATAGTTTAGAAAAGAGATGTTGTATTGATGAATAGTGAGCTACACACAGCGAATAATAAGGCATTTAAATACTAGAATTGATATATAAAGCTATTTAGGAAAGCCAATTAATTCTATGTTAAACCCGCAAAATCCCTTTCTGTTTAACGTTATAAATATAAGTTAGAAAAGTAGTAAAATAATGTTTATTGCTAGCAGAAAGAAGAGAAGGGAAACCTCGAAACAAAAATATTGAAGAGTATGTGGAAAATTATCTGCCCATCTATCAAAAAATATATGATAATGTAATTAATGTAGTTATACCTTCTGCTCAAAAAGATTTTTGGTCTTTGTTAACTACTCCTTAAGTAATAGACCTTTTTCGCAGGATCTGGCGCCGTGCGACCTTTTCCTGTTCCCGAAACTGAAATTACCCCTTCGTGGTAAATGTTTTGAGTCGATTGAATCGGAAAAAGAGAATTCGCTGAAGGAACTAAAAGCCATACCTGCACGGGCCTACGAAAAGTGTATGGAAGATTGAGTTAAGCGTTGGCATATGTGTATCGCTTCAGAAGGAGCATATTTTGAAGAAGATAAAATAAATTTGGAATAAAATTTAAATTTGTGTTTTATTTACAAAATCCGAATACTTTTTGAGCAGAAGGTACGACTTCAAGTATTATAGAGTTTTCATGTTATGATAATTTAAAGTGCATTTTAAGTACACGACTACCTGCTTGCCTCCTCTAGGGTTAAGCAAAAAAATTATTATTCAAAACATTAAATTAATATTTGATTACTTATAAGTGCGTAAACTTATAGTGAAAGGTTAAAGGGAAACCCTTTGGTTGTTTATCTTTGTAAAAGTAGTCAATTTGCAAGCAAAGCACTTACCACATAACTTATTTTTTATTTTAATAAATACAATGAAATAAAAAGTGAGAAATAATACAATTTAATTTTTCTTTCACAGAAAACGTGATGTTGAATGTTATCCAATGCCAGATGCACTTAATCCCTGTGAAGATGTGATGGGCTACCAATGGCTGCGTATATCGGTTTGGATTGTTGTTGCTTTGGCTGTTATTGGCAACGTAGCGGTTTTAGTTGTAATTTTGTCCATTAAGTAAGTCAATAGTGCTACGGGCAAACTTAATTATTTTTCTTATCAAATTTGAGTTTGCTTACAATGTTCATTTACTTTTCCATTAGATCTGAAACTGCCTCAGTGCCAAGGTTTTTAATGTGCCATTTGGCTTTCGCGGACTTATGCTTGGGACTATATTTGCTTTTGATTGCTTGCATTGATGCACACTCGATGGGAGAATATTTTAATTATGCATACGACTGGCAATATGGTAAGTATGAAAAAGGCAATGAATTCCTTAATCACAGTGGGAATTTTGTATGTAAAGGAGTTGTTCATGTATTCAGGGAGATTTTATAACTTATAGTCAGACATAAGTTCTTTTAGTAATGGATTAAGTTTAATAAATATTTTATAGAGGGATGAAATAGCTAGCAGTTATTAAATGTTCAGAGTTGTTAATTAAATATCCCATTAAATATTTTTTGAGTAGAACTTTAATGGTTTTCTAAATACGAATTATTTTAATTCACTTTGATTTCATATGAAAGCGGTTAGGCGTAGCGAATCTAGTATTTGAGAAGATGATTTCAAAATCAACAAATCACTTATGTAGTAATGTAAGGAAAATGTACATTAGTAATGAATTTATTGAGGTCTCAATATTCTTCACAGTAATGTAACAGGGCAGATTAAAAATGAGTTACTTACTCTAATGCAATATAATATCTTTTGATCTATACCTCAAAAAGAAATTTCAATGAAAATATTAAAACTTGAGCGGTACATGATATATATGATATAATTTCATTTGTATTTCAACCAGAATATATGTTATTTTGTCTTGTAACCAATATCTATGCATCGGTGTAGGTCAGTAGGGAAGCAGGCTGCTAATAAATTAACTCTATTGGTTACCCAAAAAGGACCCAAAAAGTGATACGTAATTAGTCAGTTTAATATTAATTTGTATGAATATCTTTTCTATGTGGATAGACTTTAACATGTGATGAAATAAGCTATAAAAATATAATTTTTATCGAACTATTTTATAGCATAAATGAGAAACTTGTGATGCTTTATATGAAAATATAGGTACTACTGTACACAAGTCATGCTGAGTTTAAATAAAATATGATACAGTATCATAATTATTTCACTAAGACATTTTAAGAGTCTAAGTAAGCACATATGTTAAGTTATTCATTTAGTTGATTAAAGCAAATATTTTTGCAGATTATTATTTGGAATATTATATGTTGAAAGTATGAAAGTTAACAACCTAATACAATTCCTGAGCTTCCTTTAACAATCATAAGCTTAAAAGGTTGAAACCGTACAGGGAACAGTGTTTCGAATGTAAATTAAAGTGATCTGCTATATAGCGCTATATGTATAGTAATCAAATAACTGCTAAATACTCAAGTGCTGAAAGTAGTAAATAATAATTGTAGTTTCTTAATTTAACGATCTTTGTATATATATCTACAAAATAGCCCCCTCCGACCACTTCTACGAATTTGTTTAATAAAAATCGTTTCCTCTAAGAAGCTTTCTGAGGTCTAGTAGTAGTATAAGAGGCTCTGGTGGTTGCATGATTTGTTGTAATTCACTTATTTTAGTGATGGTTATCTAAGTCATATGAGCATTATCTTCATTGATACAATTTTTTTCTTTTAAAAAATAGAATATTTTCATATATTTTTCCATTCCAAAATTTGTTTAAAGCATCGTGACGAGTATAATAACCAGCGCCTATTGTTTTACCAGTTTGGAGATGATCTACCAACAAAATTCCTTTTGTATCAAACGGATGTTCAAATCTTCTTAAACGTTTTTTGGATATTATGTATATGAAAGGCAAAGCTCATATGTTAGTCGTGCTTCCTACAGTGTTTTTCGGTTAATTTAATCTGACTATTCTATTAAAGTCTTAATAGAATATGCCATTTGATATCTATCATTGATAACTTATTTTACCTAATTAGCATAATATGATAGCACTCATGATACAAAACTTAGTGGTATCAGTTGAATATCTGCCATTATATGTCAATATTACCATCACACAATAACTTAGATAACTTAAATTAAAATCCTTTGCTCAAATTTCTTTAGTGAATCACATCAATTTATATGCTTTCTTTTTGCCCTTAGGTGCCGGCTGCAAAATAGCCGGCTTTCTGACAGTATTTGCTAGTCACTTATCGGTTTTTACATTAACCGTGATTACCTTGGAACGTTGGTTGGCTATAACAAGAGCGATGTACCTAAACAAACGTATCAAAATAAAACCCGCAGCATTTATCATGTTTGGTGGTTGGATTTACGCAGTTGTCATGTCACTCCTACCACTTTTTGGTATCAGCAATTATTCCTCTACAAGGTAAGATGAATTGACTCCAAGTATGTCATATTACTTTCATTAATATTTATTAATATTTTTAGTATATGTTTGCCTATGGAAATACGTGAACCCATAGACACAGTTTATTTGGTAACAATATTTGGTATGAGTAGTTTGGCGTTCTTCATAATAGCCATTTGTTATGCACAAATTTATATGTCACTTGGTGAGGAGACACGTCACTCTCGTAATGCGCATCCCGGGGATATGAGCATTGCAAAGAAAATGGCTTTATTGGTAAATAAACTCATAAATAATTATGTGTGTAGCGGAAAGTGATGACATATTTTCTTTGATTTTTAGGTTTTTACAAATTTCTCTTGCTGGGCACCGATAGCTTTCTTTGGACTTACTGCTTTGGCTGGCTATCCATTGATAAATGTGACAAAATCTAAAATTTTGCTTGTATTTTTTTATCCTATGAACTCATGTGCCGATCCATATTTGTATGCCATATTAACATCTCAATACCGACAGGATTTATACACGCTGCTTTCAAAGTAAGTCGTTTTCAGCTGCTACTTTAACATTGCTGGTATATTTTTGTTAATTATTTCTGAAGATATAAAATAATTTACAGATTTGGCATTTGCAAGAAGAAGGCTTTACTGTACAAAAACAGTTTCTCAATACCGGCAACAACTAATGTGACTTTGCATGGCTCGTCTATACATCGCCGCAGTTTAACAATCAAAGCCGCTGACGGTAAAGTACCGGAGGCGCAAATAATGCTTAAGAAGCAGGAGGACTTCGTTTAGATTAAAACTATTTATGTAATAATTTAAATTATTTTAAAAATGTGTAATATTATATAAGTATACATAATTATGAATATTACTGTATCAGTCCCACTACGCATTCAATGCGTCTATTTCTTGTTAAAAATATGTTAAAATCTCTTAAATATTAAACAAATTATTTATTTTAAATATTTCTCAACAATTATGTGGTAAGTCAAAAATTTATATTTAATATTTTGTTAATTAGAAAAAGCTATTGTTAAGTTTTAGATACTTTCTTTCTGAGAAGGAAAGTGCTTTATTATCTTTATTTAAAGATTTTGTACATTTTTTATATAAATTAGTTTAACTATTTAAACTGTGAGTATCCATTACATTTTTGTTGTATACGAATATTTTTTAAGCAGTATTTTCCTTAAATCAAATTTAAGTTTTAGTGAGAATATGTAACAAGTTGTGATTTTAAATTTAATACTTTTAAGCTTTAAATCTGCTGACATTAATTTTAAGCGAATAAAAAATCTTAACATTCTTTGTACATTCTTCGCGTTTGGAACGCCTCATTCTCTTCAATTAATTAAAGATTTACTTGCAATGCTCCTCAGGGCTGATGCTGAGAATACTTTAAAGTCATTAATTCTAAACTCATTTAACTTCTATGCAAAGAAAATGTTTTTCCATTATTTATATTCATATTTATGTTATTACTTAAATATATATTTATAACAAGTATATAATGAATGTATAATAAATAATGTATAATAAAACTATAAAAAAATTAAATAATAATTAAAAATTAAATAATAATGAAAGAATTGTGAAGTTAGACAGTACGTAGTCAAAGAAATTGATAACATAAGAAATATATTAGTACTTTTATATAATTAATGTTCATAAATGTATATATGTGCATATATGGAGGACATATAAACAAATTGTGCTTACTATTGTGCTACATTTATAAATATATTCTCAAATTGCGATATCTATATCTAAAACATTTTTCATATTTTACATACTTCGGCAAAATTGTGACCACCCTACCACTTCAAAATAATAAAGTTTAAGATAAAGTCGGAACAAACCAACTCCTTTTGCAAGGGAATGTTAATTCCCTTGATTTCAACACACATTTTCTAATTTTTTTATAAGTATTTTTTATTATTTTCTTGATGAAACCTACTTTATATATTATGCATACATTTTTAATTCTACTAACTATGAGTTAGGCGGATTATACCGGCGATCCCTAAGGGATCCACTTAGGGCTATTCTTCCATTGCGTTACCGTAGATAGAGGAAACCTCAGGGTTTAAAACCTCCTAGAATCTTAAGAGAAGCTCAAAATTTTTACTAAGTGCGTAGATACTGTAAATAACTTTTTTCAAATAGATAGAAATACAGTTTTCTTAAATAATTCTTAGATAGATGCTAAAGCAGTATCTACATAATTGTGAAATTACTAAAAAAATTTTATCAAATACATTATTACATTTCTGTTCATAATTATGACTCGTTTGTAAGTGTACAATGACATATTGCCGAGTATTCACTTTTAGTCAGATTATATTCCATATTAATTCAGAAAAATATTTTACTATTATAAGGTTAAAGAATAAAATTTAGTAAGAAATGTACGATATGGTTGCAGTTGTCTGTTGTCGACTATATCAGTGTTGTTTAATCTACAAATAGTTTAGATACAAAAAACAGGCTTCCTTTTAACTAATTCTGTGAATTACTCCTTGCAATAATTTCCAATGATTTTTTAATACATAAGTTACACAAAGAATATATCTAGCCTATATAATATGCATAGCATTTCTTCAAACAATTATAAACTAAAAACTTTGTCTATACCATTGCCAATTAAAGGTTATAATTGTTATATTTATAAGAAAGTTGCAAGGATTTTCGATTTTTTGTCTAGAAAAAGACAATTACGTACAGGCGAAATATTGAATACAAGAGTATCTTTTAAAAAATTCGTACTGCATGAAATTTTAATTTTCTTATATATACTATAAGAAGAATAAATACTAAACACTAAGTTCATTTATTATACAAATTTATCACTAACAAAGCCATTGATCTTGCTTTTAGTTCTTGATCATCAATTGTTTCCAGGTTACATTGTGGTAATTCCAAATGATACTTTGATCTATCTTTTACTGCTAGTAATTATTATCCAATCATTATTAGTCAAAAGTCTTGTTTTAGTTTCTCATATATCCAAGTTTGCGTGTCTCATACGTATATAACGATTATTTGAGCCAGAAATGCAGTTGCAATTCCTTTTATTGTTTGTTCTTCAATTATTTTTTTGCATCAAAATCGGTATATCCTGGCAGTCACAACATAAGCATTTATTATTACTTAAATGTACATTTAAGTATGAATACTTAAAATATTTTTTATAATAATTTAATAGAATTAAAATATTCAAAATATATTAAATGAATTTTAGTTTTTATCAAATGAAGAAAATGAAGTCTTTATTAAATAAAAAATATTAATAAACGATAAATAATAAAACGATAATAGTAAAACGATAAATGTTTAGCAGATGCTTCAACATGCGACATGTGATATGTCTCTAAATATTCAATATAAATATTTTCATGGTATTGCGTTCAAAGTGATATATGTCGCATGCAACTGCAATATCTGAGTAATTCTCTATGTTATGTGGTTTAACGTAATGTGCTTTGTTTCTGTGTATGTACATCGTGTAGTTCAGATGAAAAAATTTAAATCTTGCCCCGCATTTAAATTCTAACAATGCAAATAAAAATAACAATATAGGCATTTTATTATACATGCCAAAAACTATAAATAACAATTTATCAATTTTGGCAGCATATAAACTTGGACGTAAAGCTGTACTTACTGAGTTTAACTATTAAGGACAAAATATATTGCGGGCATATACAATCATATTAGGGGCAACTATGAAGAACTGTATTCGGTATACTTAATATAGCTTAAAGAACAAGACACAACTATGAGGAATAGCATATTATGACCGTACTATAACGATTTAATTATGACGTTAAAAATAGTCTGATTTTACTCAACATACTATTATGTTGCATATGTTCTACAAGGAATGGCTATTTGGATTAGACAACTCCAATTATTGCTATATTCCGGTCTTTAAAATAATTTACAAGGTTTCATAGAGGTCGTTATTGTTTTCTCACTCCTTGTGCTTTTTTTTTCTTCGTTTTTATTAATTCTTTCGTATTCTTTTCAATAAAGGAAATCACATTTTCCCTTTAGACTAGATGGTCCTCTTTTTCCATATTTTGATTCCTGGTGTTTGAATTTAATGAAAAGACCGCTACCATATTTTTTTTGCACTAGACTATATCTCATTGAAAACGGATTTTCTATACTCAGCCCAAGTTATATGCAGAAATTTGCTCTTATTGAAATATTAACTGACAATTTAAATTTAAGTTGCGGTAGTTATCCTCTTCGTTGATGAAAAGTTTAGTTTAGTTGCAATGTTTTACTAGATTTATAGTAGTATGTGTGTATTTAAAAACTCTAAAATCATCTTTACTATCTCCATTGCTACGATAAGCTTAACAAAGACGTCTAAGACTAAGACTATGTCTAGATAACTACATTTGGAGTATTTACGATCTTGAGTAATAATTTCGGTAACAGAGTAACAGTGAAAAGTAGTGACAACAAAATTTATTTGTTGTAACTGCGTTGTACTATTTCCAGATTACAGATTTCCAATACCCCAAAAAAAATGTGGTTTCTTTTAGAGGATAACTGGATGGAAACTGGAATTTCAACTGTAGGATATATATAGATTGCAAAGTAATATCAGTTTAAAATACTAATTTGTAGGTTGTTGCAATTATAACATTGTGCAGAAAATCCTTTAAGCTATGAATGAATATATTTTAATATCTGCATCTTCTAATCTTTTATTGAAGCTTATTATTATTAACCCAAAGTTAGGATACAATTAAAAATTGTCGCATAATATAGTTTACTTAGTAATGAGTAAGGTACATATATGTATTGGACATATTTATTTCACATGAAGTCGATGAGAATATAATTATTAATGTATTATATATGCAACATATCTCTGTATTCATATTTATTATTCGAGGTAACATCAATGTAATATAATTTATTGAAATGTAATAAATGACAGTATGTAAACCTGATGTAATTGAAATTTTACATATCTAATTACAGTTACTATTTTCCTTATTACAATAATCAAAAAAAAAAAAAATAAAAAAAAGGCCAAAACAGAAAAAACATTATTTTATTTTGTGATTTAGTTCTACTTTAAATGTGAAAAGATGATATATTAATAAAAATAAAAACAGTCATAATTAATTTAGATTTCAATAAATTTAAACAAATCGTAAAATAACTCCTAAAGAACTATGTCATACCTGATTTCGAAACTTATATGTACTTATGAGATTAAAGCTTAAGCCACAAAAATTTATACAAATCAAATTTTTTAATAGTTTAAAAAAACAGTGTGTCATACAAATATATATTGATATATTAAAATAGATATATACAAATAAATTAATTTATAGGTGTCCTATATTAAATTTTTAAATGTACTTCCTAAAACTTATAACATTTTCTGTATATGAAAATTATTTTTGAGTGTATATAAATTATAAATAATAAATCTTATTGATATAAAATAAACGCATGATGGATTTAATTATTTTTAAAAACCAGTTTTTTACAGATAAATGTTTAAATTATTAAATCTATATATTAATCAATTAAGGTCGGTCAATATTCCATTGCCATTTTAGTTAAATTATTACAACTGTCGAAGTTATTTAATAACCCTGATAGAAAATTTTTTTCTTATGTTAGATGTCGAGGTTTCTATAGGCACTTCAATTTCTATCTGTATTTTTTTTTTTGATTTTTTGACTACAATTAATAGACCATCATTATGAACTGATCAGATATTAATTTTTCATCAGCAGATAATATAACTTTTAGTCTCTTTTTGGTGTCAACTTCTGTGGTGTTAGATAATTTACGTATTACGTAGGTTTTTACGAAATGAGGA